GCAAGTATCTGACAGTTCTTCCTCTGAAGATAACCCCTCGTGCATTCTTTTGTAGTCTCGACGTCGGTTGGCTCTTCTTTGTAACCGCGACATTCTTTGAGATAGACCCCGCTCAACTCTCCCTTTTGAAGAGAAATCAGGGTCAGGGTTAACTAATAGTTGCTTTCCTCTACCGGTCATGTTAATAGTGACCTCAGGGAATTCATCTCGCCGAATGGCAGGTTTCTTCTTGTTAAAACGCCTTATTCTGGGTCTTGACGCTTCCGTAGACAGTCTTTGAAATACGGAGACTCTAGTTGAATTAGTTTTAGAGCAACCGCATTCTGTCAGTACTGCTTTAATGAGCCTCTCGCAGGAGCAGTGAGACTCATATTCTCGGACAACTCTTTTTCTTGAGTTATTGTTTTGATAGTACAGCTCATCATTATTGCGATTTGAGCAACCCATCTTTTGTTTTTGAACCCTGTTAACATGCACAGGACGACCGGTCGTCGCCTCTGGGCGATCTAAGGTTAAATTTTTAATTCCACCCCTTTGCGGGTGTGGAGTATTCATAGGTCCTAAACGAGAGTGAATTGGTATTCTCTCGTTCTGGACTGGTGCAGTTCTGACAGGAGGGTGTTTACGACCCTCTGTATAAGAAACCACTAAGGGTTTATTTGCTGGATCTGGTTGTTCTTTGACCGGGGTTTTGCCTCGATCGTCAACCGAAGGACCGAGGCGATCCACCATTGTGATTTTTAATTTGGATAAATCTGGGCTAACCCAGGGTTTCACTGGTGATGCAGTAGACGGGCCCGAAACGGATGTTTGCGGCGTCTTCGGCGTCCAAACTCTACGGTTCTTTGGTGGCTTTTCAGACACCATCTCCTTCTTGATTCCTTGTGCTTGTTGACGAAGAGCGCGAGCACGGGCGGCCTTCACCTGACGCCTCTGTATACGTTCCTTAAGGGTTGAACGAGCCCTTTTGACGAGGGTCCATTCCTCCGTCGTAAGCTATGCAGAAATATGATTATTTTGCCGTTGAGGCAACTGAACCACTTTTTGTTTTCTCGACTCTAGGTCCGCATAGTAATGGACCCCATCGGTTTGTTGCATGGCCTTAGCCAATTGTCGAGCACGGCGCTGGCGCTGTCTCTGACGAGCTCTCTTCGTCAGCACCGGTGAGCTATGATTCAACGACTCCTTAACTGGTGCGGAGTCACTCGGAGCAGAGATGTTGCAGGTAGATTCCTTAGCAACAGTTGGGCAAGAACCTTCACCTGCGGTCTTTATCGGAATTGAAGACTTAGGAATTTTCTTGGAAGAGGAAATCCTCCTGCACTTGCGAGGCGAGGAAGATTTTGAAGACGAGGATGACATGTACTCCTCGAATTTTGCCTGATCGAATTCATATTCGATCTCTTCAGTGACTATGATCTTGATCGGTTGCGACACTGCGGCCGCGGCAGCGAGGCCGCTGGCTCCCACTGTGGTCGCCAGTTTGTTTTCAGCAAAAGTCGTTTCCATTGTCGATTCCATTAAAACTTAGATTGTTTACAGAAAATTACAATGAAAATAAGCAAAAATACAACTCTTGTCGATTCCATTAAAACTTAGATTGTTTACAGAAAATTACAATGAAAATAAGCAAAAATACAACTCTCGAGAAAATAACACAGAAATTGTTTATCAACTCCTGCTTTTGTGGGACTTTGCCTGTGCTGGGAGTGCTTTAACTCGTGGACCGTCGAATCACAGATCGTGAAAGGGGGCTTAATGATTCTTCCTTCGTTTATCGAAGTGAGAATTTGAAACGAAGATCTTATCAAAGTAAGACAATCGTTCTTCTTAAGATCAAGTCAAAGCTCGAATCTTAAGGAATCACACCAAGAACTCAAGTTTGCTCTCTCTCTCTGCTCTGGATTGCTCTATCAAGTGCTCGATCCTCGTCAGAAATGACCCTAGGGGGGTATTTATAGCCTCTGGGACATAACTGAAAAAATACAACAACATGACAACATTAGGCTGCGCTGTCTCGGCGGCCGAGACAGTGTTTGCTGTCTCGGCCTGTGAGACAGTAAATACTATCTCGAAAAAGGCAGTTTCCTGGCAGTTTTTGATGTAACTGCTGTCCCACGTTTCAAACTCCGTTATTTTGGCAGTTGTTCACCTGATTTTCGCCCACAATGTTTTCCACGTCCTTTGGCAGTTAATGGACACGGGTGCGGAAGTTATTTAACCACTTTCAATCATAGTAAACACTGTCTCGCTGGCGAGATAGTAAACACTGTCTCGCTGGCAAGACAGTTCATATCTGTCTTGATTTTTGTTCTAAGACAGTATGGGGTTAATTTCTGTGATTTTTGGGTAATCTTCTCTATGTTTGGATATCTATTAGCATTTTTTGACGCCTACAGTTATGATTCATTTCCTTAATAGTTAGATGTGTTGGTGAAAAAGACTTTTGTTCAAGATTCAAGTTTCAGATTTCAATCTCAATCAAAATTCGCCTGTATTTTCTATCTCTAAAATGACTGATGATGAAAATCTTATAACAGCTTTCAGAGACAGCTTAGATTTGAACCAGATACATTATGTTATATATTTCTTTCTTTTATAGAGCTACATATCCATTCTTTTCATGTATCAATCTGCATATATAGATGAGGTTGAGCAATATATTAGTAATATTTTTTCCTTCTAAATCATTAGGAGTCAACAGGATAAGAATATTTCACTAATGAAGCTAAATCTTCCAAAAAAAAAAGATGTTCTTGATAATGTAAGTCAATACACTTAATATTATTTTTCTTTTTCATTTCTCATGTTTGTATTTATTTTTTATTGATTTTTTTTTGTGAAATGAAAGGAAATTATAGATGTCATACCAAAAACATTATATGTACAACCTCCATCTAATTATAACTATGATCAGAACTAATACTTATAGTAACACCTCAACACCTCTCTCCATAATCAAGGAGACAACCTGACAAGGCAAAACTCTCAAATTCTTTTTTGTTGTATATTTCACAATACTTACTTTTCAAATACTCTTTTGATGTTGCTACTGCTTTCACCTTTATGACTTTGTATTTCGTTTTATTATTGTTCTCTTGATTCTTCACATTAACAGTGCAAAAATCTTTTCTTTATATCTTATTAGTATGCTAACTTATTGTTCTCTTGATTCTTCACATTAACAGTGCAAAAATCTTTTCTTTATATCTTATTAGTATGCTAACTAAATAGATAAAATAAACATGCCTTTATTTTCCCAGAATGTGTAGAATATGTTTTTAATGTTTGATTTTTTAAAAGGATGCATTATATATTGTCAGATTCTTATCTAACGTGAGTAGAATGACTTTTAATAATACAAGGTTTTTTTTACCATTTGAGTTTTAGAAGTTTTCAAAACAAATGAAATCTTGAAGTTTAGTTAACATTATTTCTGGCTTGTGTTCTATTTGTCAATGACCCATTATCAATCCTGTGAAGCTTCTAATTAACTTTTGACACAATGCATCAAAAATTTCCACCACCTTCTCCTTGATGTACAAATTAAAAAAATTAAAATACTTAATTGAACCATGCATTTACTTGATCCTGAAAAACTTAACCATATATTAATTGAGAGAAGTAGCTAGCTTAATTACTGGAATTTACCGAGAAGATTTCTGATTATAGGTTGTCATAGTAATCCTTCTTAATGTAATACCAAATTCTTTAATATCGATTATAGGTTGTCATAGTAATCCTTCTTAATGTAATACCAAATTCTTTAATATCTTTTTGAGTAGTATCTTTTGTTGCTACAACTTTCACCATTAATGTAATACCAAATTCTTTAATATCTTTTTGAGTAGTATCTTTTGTTGCTACAACTTTCACCATTATTACTTTGGATTGCCTATTTCTTTTCTCTTTAATATTGATTTCTTGATTCTTCACATTAATTGTACAACTATTATGTTATATTGAAACCTCATTAACATGCTAACTATTATGTTATACTGAAACACATGGCTCACTATCGGTTACTGGTGACAATGAAGTTAAAATTTGTTCCTCGGATAACATTACTCTTTGCAAGAGAAATTTGTTGGAATCTAATGTCGAGCACTCAGTCTCAGTAGATTTCTCTGCAAATGTCTAGCAACAAAAAGCAAAAACAGATCAAAATTGAAAAAGAGAATTAGAATATTCTACAGAGAGTTCCAGGTACTTTTTGATAAATCTATATCTGATTCATGATGTCTAAAACTTATATTTAGTATTTTGGTCTAAAACATTATTTAGTAAACTTTTGTATGCACTACATATTTTTTTGGTGGTTTTGCGTTGAGAAACCTAACTACTTGATATGATTATGAAAGATATTTTGTTTATCAATATATTGATAATTATTGTCTTGATTCATAGATATATATACTTGACAGGTATCTTTAGGTGCTTTAAATATTTCGTTTGGAACTAAACTTTATGTTGCATATTAATTACTTGGTATAGCAAAATATTGTAACATTAATCATATAGACATGAGACAGTTTACTAGTAAGTCAAACATATATGCAACTTAGGTTGCATCATTTCTGAGTACTTATATATTATTACTGTTTTATTTTGCATTCTTTTGCTACATCAATTTTTGTATATTAAACAAATCCGTGCATCGCACGGGCCTGAAACTAGTTTTCCATAATTAGAACTCTTAAATAAAATAATTTAAGTTCACCTCTATTCCTAGTATAAAACTTCCAAAAAAGATATTATATTTTCCCTCCTCTTCGTAAGCTTTACTTTCCTTCCCTTATGGCTTGTTTGGATGGATGGTAGAGAGGGGGAAGAGAAGGAAAATTTTATTTTAATATTGTTTGGGAGTTTCATTTTGGAGGGTAAAAAAAGGAAATAAAGGGGAATTTTGACCCAAATTCTTACAGCCGAACGGGATATAATGGAGAGAAAAGGAAGGAAAACGAAAATTTCCCTTCATTCCCTTCGCTGAGTAAACTGGTAAAGACACCATTATTCAACTCCCAAACATAGCATTAAAAAAACGAAAAAAAGAGAATGCCCTTTCCGTCGCTTGACTCGGGTCATCCTCCTCTTCTCATCACCTCCTTTCTCGCCTCTTTTTGTCTCTCTTCACCCCCGTTCTCTCTGGCCCAACCTCAAAAATGGAATCCACCCATGTGAACTGGGAAACCCTAGATTCCCTCATCATAGACTTCGCCAGATCCGAGAATCTTCTAGAAGATTCCTCCTCCTCCTCTCCCCCTCCCTCTCCTTCCTCCTCCCCTTCCTCCTCCTCCTCCTCCTCCTACCGATCTCGCCTCCTCATTCACCAGATCCGGCGCTCGATAGAGTCTGGCGACATCGAATCCGCCCTTAATTTTATCAAGAGCCACGTGCCGGCGGTGCTCGATGACCATCGGATTCTCTTCCGACTTCACAAGCAGGTGGACCTTTTGCACCCTGCCCCCTGGTTTTTCTTATATTTATGTTTATAATATTGGTTAATCCTTTTTTATATTTTTGTAGAAATTTATTGAGCTGCTGAGGAGAGGGACGAAGAGGGACAGGGATTTGGCGATTGAGTGCGCTCGTGGCTCTCTTGCTCCTTGTGCCCTAGATGCTTATCCGGTAATTTCTTTAAATATTTACTTTTTTTTTAAAAAGTTTCAAGTTTGGGGTGCATTTTTGGGGTACACTGAAATATGCTTACTCTGCGTTCAAATATATAATATATTAGTTTTAGAAAAGTGGTTTTGTTTACTTATTGGGGCTTGACATGATTAATTTGTGGGAAGAGTGGTGGCAGAAGATTCGATGCGCATTTATTGGTTTACTTACAAAACTCTAGCTTATGTATATATTTTGTTAGTCTCCCCCATGTTTCATCCATAACGTCTTAACAAGAGCAAGAACAAAAGGAGACTAATATACAATACCACACCTGCTTCACTAAAATGAGACAAAAGAGTAATTCTGGCATGCAAATGAGGCACATAGAGGTGGGGAGCTAACTCATTTCCGATGGCGTGAGTATATCGTCCTTTGAAATCGCTGCTTATGTAGCAAGTATATGCTTATATATCACACATTTAAGCTGCTTGGTGGGGACTCTAGCCTTTCGCCAAGTAGTCCATGGGGGAATAAATAACCTGAACGATCCCTAATGTGATAAAACCCTGAAAGTGCTATCAAATTTGTTTGGAGGAAGGGCAATGGAGAAACAGACAATCATCTGATATATTCAAAGGGCACAATTGTTTGGTGCTTGCCCTATGATTATGGTCACTTCCCACTTGTTTTTAGAATCTAATAATATTAAAGTCTCTCTTGCACAGTTCACGGTTTGTTCCATTTAAGACGAATTGCTTTAATTTTGTAATAGAAGCGTGTCCATCTACATGTTTGTTGGTTCCATGTATCACTTGGGGAGGGGCCAATTTTTCATCTGACCTGTTGACCCGATCCGGCCCCTTCTTAATAGGGTCAGGTCATAATATATTGGGTCGGGTCATATACGGGTCGACCCAAACTACCCATTTATTAAATGGGTAAACTTGGATCGACCCTAAGTGACCAATTAACCCATCTAAAGACCCATTTAACATAAACAGGTAGCCCTAGTAACATCATTTCCTTTCCCTTTTGTTTTAGCCTTTTTTTTTCTTGGGAAAAGATTCTCTACATATTTGGTTGTAGAGAGCCTCTACAAATTACCGATCACATCTCATTCTATGGACCCCGTAAATGACATTCTTTGAGTAAATTATATGAAAATCCTTTTATTTGTGGGACCCACTGTATTAGCCAATGCTATTGTTTCATAAGACCAATTGCAGGGGTTATCTACAATTAAAGATGTAGAGAATCCGAACCCGTTTTTCTAAGGATGTAGAGAATCCGAACCCGTTTTTCTCATGGGGATTCTTGAGGGAACTTCTCTGATCATGAATCATCGAGGGAGCAACGGGGTTAAGTGCGAGCGTTGCGGCGGCAATCAATGGCACCAACCGGCAGCGGCGGTGGAGCAGCAACAAAGTGTGAGGGTTCATCTTCTTTCTTCTTAGTGAACATAAAGAAACAAGCGTTATGTTAATATATCCCATATTATTATCATCAGTTATATAAACAGTTTATTGTGCTTTTGGCTAATGTAAATCCTTCTTATTTGATTTCTGTTTCTTGTGTTTGGGTCGTTGACATTCCTGTGATTTTTCTACTGTAGTTTCTTCTTCTTTATTCTTGCTAAATTGTGGTTATTTTCTGGCTTTTTTTGATGAAAAACCTACGATAGATCCAAATGAGATTAAAATTTTGTTTTTTTTCCTATTTTCCTGATAGCTTAAGATGAAGAAGACCCAATGAATTAGTAGCCTAATTTCTGGATTTTTTTCACTAAATCATCACGGGTTTGTCTTCTCATCTCAATACTTTATGGACAACTCTGACAGATTTATCTTGCCCTCAAAATTGTAATCAAGTCTTTTCTTACAATGTTATGGTTGAAATGAATTTATAAAGTTTCTGACTACCTAAGGTCTCCAAACAATCGTCTTTTTCCATTTAATGTAACTTTGAGAACGATATACATGTAACTCGGGTCGGGTAACCTCTTTAATAAACAGGTCGGAAAATTTGACCTGTTTATTAAACGTGTTGGGTTCGGGTCAAGCTTATATGGCTTGGGTCAAAATTGATCAGACTCGCTCTGTTTGCCAACCCTATAAATCACAAGAACAACATCTTCCCACCTAGCATAATGGCCACTAACGTAATGAACTACAAAAAAGCACCCTCATCAGCCTCGATATTGGTAAATAAGGAAGGATCTACTGTGAGAAAGACTCCCCTCTAGTCTTGGTCAGTCAATCGATGCTGTTCAAAAATAATCTTAGAACCAACAGAATTAAATAATCTACTAGAAGGATTGCTTAACTTGATCTCCTTAAGGCAGACAATCGATGATTCACGAGCTAAACTATTTTGGCATCTCCTGAACCCAGACAGGTGTATACATTATACCAATTAAGTAATTACCAGTTAGTTTCTTTTCAATAATTAATCCTTTTATTTGACATTCGTTGTTCCAACAATTTGATTTGGTTACTTCTCGCTAATTGTTTGAGATTGTTTTATTAGAATTTATCTATTAGTTAGTTGAGATTTGAATCTCTTATGAGATAAACTGGCGTAATCAGAACTTTATAACCTTTTCATTTTCTGTTAAGTATGAATTAATCAACTATCGTTTCAGGAGTTTAGGGTGTGATTTTTTCCCCTCTTTTTTGGAGGCATGGGTCCCTTCTATTTTTCTAAGGTGTAATTCTTTCTCCTTTTTGGGGTATGGTTCCTTCTCCTTTCTGAGGGTGATGCTTCGTGTTGTTTCTTCTTAAGGGATCCTTGTCTTTATAAAGTTGTACTCCTTTTTTATGTTTTGTCTTTAGAATTTTTCAAATTCTTTTACTCTCCAAATCGCTCCACTATTCATTTACTTTCACGGGCACTTAGACGAACTTTCGCCTGTGAGCTAGATCCAATTCATCTCACGGCCCATCCAGGTTATTAATTTAGTTTTTACCAGTTTTGTTATCGTTGTTCCAATAGCATTCATATGTTTTAATCATTCTATCCAGTGTTAATTATGGTCATGTCGAAGTAACATTGACTAGAACATCAAAGGAATAGTGAAGTTCTAGAGTTGTATTGCTTTACTTGTGTTGTAATTCTTCTCTAACCTGAGAGTCAGTTATACAGATTTTTCAGCGTTGCACTTGGTAATTTATTTGTGACATGCCTTTTCTCCTTCCTGATGACTCCTCAGTCCTACATAGCTGTCCCATAGCAAGTGAAAGGTCTGGTTGAAAAGGAAACCAAGTTGGTACACCACAAAGGGTTAAAACTTACCAGGTATTAGTGTCTTTATGGATACCAGCTTTTTTTGGGTCATTCTTCAGCAGTCAATTCAATTAAGCGAAACATCAAGCATGATATCAATACATTCTGGTTCTCTTTTCAACTTATAACTTATGTTTACAATTGACATAGGCAAGTTCCAATCTCGCGTTCATATTTTTTAATCTCGTAATTTACATTTAAAGGTAAAGGGGAAGAAAGACATTTACCATGTTGACTGGACAAACGACCAGTGAACTAAAACCTTTCTTAAAAACGCATCCCTATGTATAAGTTATGTTTCTGCAGTCTTAGTTTGACTTGACTACTCTTCCTAGGGAGGTTGCTGTATACGTTATGACTACGTGCTTTCGTTATTGCTATGTTTAATATGTAGTTTGTCCATTGTCAGTTCAGTTCTCATTTTGGGGGAAAACTCTCTATTTGGGTTATTCTTTATGCTGATGTACATTTATTGTTTTTGAAGGAAGCTTATGAGGAATTCAAGCATGTCCTGCTAGCACTGATATATCACGAAAAAGACCAGATGTCTCCAGTGGCAAATGAGGTGAATTTCTTTTCAACTTCATATGTTTTGTAGACTTATAATAATTTGTAGTGCAAAGAGTTCTTAAAAAGCACCGCTTCATTACTTGGGTGCCAACATTTGGAAGTTTATCATACTAGAGCATGGTACAACAATTTGATGAATTTTTTTTCTTGATGGTGGTTTATCTTAATTTGATATACTATGGATATGGATGAAGAAACTTAGCAATCTTTTAATTTGAAAGAATAGATAATCTAGTAGTAAAATGAAGCATGAGTAATTCAATTATCTATAAGAGATCTGCTTATGGTAATAAAACAATCTCATAGTCATCTACTTCCTGTATGTGCCAACAGATGTTGCATTATTACTTTCCTTTCAAATTATGTTACCTTATGAGGGATGAAAAAGAATGGGTCACCAGATCAGGTTACCGTTTAGAGTTCTCAAGTGAAAAATGAAAGAAGGAAACATTTTGGAGGCAAAAGAGTTGGCAAACGTTTTCCCTTTTTCCATTCAGTACTTTTCTTCTCTATTCTCATAAATTTATCTTAAGATCTTCAATATACAATTCTGTTTATCTGTTTGGTTTTGCTTGATATTTTACATCCTCTTAAGTGTTTCTCCCCATTGTTTATTTATAAGACCTAATAGCTT